TAACATGTCCTCCTAAAGCGATAAAGTTCAAATCTGCCTTATTAGTTTAGGACATAAGATTTGAGACTTAAAGAAACAGAATATAACATGTCCTCCTAAAGCGATAAAGTTCAAATCTGCCTTATTAGTTTAGGACATAAGATTTGAGACTTAAAGAAACAGAATATAACATGTCCTCCTAAATCGATAAAGTTCAAATCTGCCTTATTAGTTTAGGACATAAGATTTGAGACTTAAAGAAACAGAATATAACATGTCCTCCTAAAGCGATAAAGTTCAAATCTGCCTTATTAGTTTAGGACATAAGATTTGAGACTTAAAGAAACAGAATATAACATGTCCTCCTAAAGCGATAAAGTTCAAATCTGCCTTATTAGTTTAGGACATAAGATTTGAGACTTAAAGAAACAGAATATAACATGTCCTCCTAAATCGATAAAGTTCAAATCTGCCTTATTAGTTTAGGACATAAGATTTGAGACTTAAAGAAACAGAATATAACATGCATCCTAAAGCGATAAAGTTCAAATCTGCCTTATTAGTTTAGGACATAAGATTTGAGACTTAAAGAAACAGAATATAACATGTCCTCCTAAATCGATAAAGTTCAAATCTGCCTTATTAGTTTAGGACATAAGATTTGAGACTTAAAGAAACAGAATATAACATGTCCTCCTAAATCGATAAAGTTCAAATCTGCCTTATTAGTTTAGGACATAAGATTTGAGACTTAAAGAAACAGAATATAACATGTCCTCCTAAATCGATAAAGTTCAAATCTGCCTTATTAGTTTAGGACATAAGATTTGAGACTTAAAGAAACAGAATATAACATGTCCTCCTAAAGCGATAAAGTTCAAATCTGCCTTATTAGTTTAGGACATAAGATTTGAGACTTAAAGAAACAGAATATAACATGTCCTCCTAAAGCGATAAAGTTCAAATCTGCCTTATTAGTTTAGGACATAAGATTTGAGACTTAAAGAAACAGAATATAACATGTCCTCCTAAATCGATAAAGTTCAAATCTGCCTTATTAGTTTAGGACATAAGATTTGAGACTTAAAGAAACAGAATATAACATGTCCTCCTAAATCGATAAAGTTCAAATCTGCCTTATTAGTTTAGGACATAAGATTTGAGACTTAAAGAAACAGAATATAACATGTCCTCCTAAAGCGATAAAGTTCAAATCTGCCTTATTAGTTTAGGACATAAGATTTGAGACTTAAAGAAACAGAATATAACATTCCTCCTAAAGCGATAAAGTTCAAATCTGCCTTATTAGTTTAGGACATAAGATTTGAGTCTTAAAGAAACAGAATATAACATGTCCTCCTAAATCGATAAAGTTCAAATCTGCCTTATTAGTTTAGGACATAAGATTTGAGACTTAAAGAAACAGAATATAACATGTCCTCCTAAAGCGATAAAGTTCAAATCTGCCTTATTAGTTTAGGACATAAGATTTGAGACTTAAAGAAACAGAATATAACATTTCCTCCTAAAGCGATAAAGTTCAAATCTGCCTTATTAGTTTAGGACATAAGATTTGAGACTTAAAGAAACAGAATATAACATGTCCTCCTAAAGCGATAAAGTTCAAATCTGCCTTATTAGTTTAGGACATAAGATTTGAGACTTAAAGAAACAGAATATAACATGTCCTCCTAAATCGATAAAGTTCAAATCTGCCTTATTAGTTTAGGACATAAGATTTGAGACTTAAAGAAACAGAATATAACATGTCCTCCTAAAGCGATAAAGTTCAAATCTGCCTTATTAGTTTAGGACATAAGATTTGAGACTTAAAGAAACAGAATATAACATGTCCTCCTAAAGCGATAAAGTTCAAATCTGCCTTATTAGTTTAGGACATAAGATTTGAGACTTAAAGAAACAGAATATAACATGTCCTCCTAAATCGATAAAGTTCAAATCTGCCTTATTAGTTTAGGACATAAGATTTGAGACTTAAAGAAACAGAATATAACATGTCCTCCTAAAGCGATAAAGTTCAAATCTGCCTTATTAGTTTAGGACATAAGATTTGAGACTTAAAGAAACAGAATATAACATGTCCTCAGTAGTATATGTACCACTTTTACATCAAAAAATTTTTTTCGATGTAAAACCGTCACAAAAACAGCTTTCAATTATTTTTCAATAGGTTTAGGGGAAAACCGTCACAAAAACAGCTTTCAATTATTTTTCAATAGGGGAAAACCGTCACAAAAATTTTCTACAAATATTTTTCAATAAGTTTAGAGGGTTTTAAAAATTATACCCAGCGTTGCTTAACTTGCCAGATCGGACGGGTGGGCACATTTACAAATCAGCACGGACTTATTCATAGGAATGGTGAAATTGTAATGCAAATGGATTAAATAAAATAAATTTTTGGAATAAAAGCAACTATATTGAATACAATCAATTAATTTTTGGAAGAAATAAAAAATTTTTGAAAAAAAAAATAAATGTAAAAAATAAAATAATTAATTTTTGAAGAAAAAATATTTTAATGAAAATTAATTAAAAATTTGTAAAAACTAAAGAAAAACTAACAAAATTTTGAATGAATAAATAATTTTTAAATAAAAATTTATAAATTAATAAAAAATAATAAATGTTGAAGAATAAATATTTTAAACAAAAATAATAAACGAAAATAATTTTTTATATATTTAATTTTTGAAGAAAAAATATTTTAAATCTTATTTAAATAAAAATTATATGATATTAATTTTTCTGTTCTTCAACGTCTACATAATCTAAGCATTCAAGAATTAGAAATATTGGTGATTTCTTCTGCAAAAACGCATACCAGAGGTAGTTGGGGATAGACGAGATCTATGTGGCAGACGCACATTATATTTGTGCCTAATAGGGCACTTGAGGGGATTGAGTGCACTTGAGTAGTGCAAAAGCACGATTAACCCAACGGGCTGAGGACCCTATATAAAGCAGCTATAGAGGCACCTATATAAAACATCTATATAAAATGTTTAGCGCACCATTTACTATGATAATTTCGGGTGCCACAGGAAGTGGCAAAACCCAATGGCTTCTAAAATTTCTGGCACATGCTAACCAACTCATAGATTCTTCTCCTTCAAAAATATTATATTGTTTTGGAGAAATGAATGAAACTGTTTTCAAGCTCAAGGAAATGGGAATTACTACTTATAATGGAGTTCCCGAATCTGAACTAATTAAAAAACATCAGCTTTTGGTGTTAGACGATTTAATGCTTAATATTAATATTGATTTCTTAAATCTACTTTTTACTCGAGGTTCACATAATTGGGGCGTAAGTGTGATTTTTGTAACTCAATCCCTATACGGCCGAGATATAAAGACTGCAAGAGCAAATGCACATTATATTCTTTTAACAAAAAACCCTCAAGGCCTTCTGCAAGTACGGACACTCGGCTCGCAGCTTTTCCCAAAAATGCTTAATTATTTTCTTGAAGCCTATCGAGATGCAACATCGGAACGTTTTTCTTATCTATTAATAAACATGCATCCTAGCACAGATGAAAATATGCGATTATCTACAAAAATATTTCCTGGAGAAAAAACTACTATATATTTGCCGCTGTAATATATAAGTACTCAAAACAATTTTAAGATAAAAATGCCCACGTATAACTATAGTCCATACGTTAAGGAAAATTTTGAATTTCTTCAAAGTTTAGCAAAAACTACTTCAGATAAAAAGAAAAACACTCTAATTCTTTCAGCAACTGCAGATCAAATCTTAGCAATTGTGGAAATTTGTGCTAATATTTTGAAGCACAATTTCATCCTAAGTACGAGACAGCGTAAAAAATTAGCTCAATTTGCGGACTTCTATAGAGCAATCGCTCGAACGCGTACTGAAAAGGGTGCAAGAAATCGTATCCAACAAGGAGGTAGCGCCGCTCTAGCAGCAATTCTAGTGCCAATTCTAGGTGCATTAACGGAACATATTATTCATAAATTCACTCAAGAATGAAACATACAAAGAAAATGATTATGGTGCCTGAAACCGAATATCATACGCTTCTGTCTATGATTAGAGGTGATGACTTTTTACAAAGGGAGAAGGCACAGACGGATGCAGAAATTACATTGACATTGAATGATCCAAAAATTTCTGAAGATGTAAAAGCAAAGAAATATAATTGGTTATATAAAAAACGTCGTCAACTCAAGCACGAGTTGGAAAATCGTCCCCAAAGGGTAATTATTGACGATGTTAAAACATCAGAGGTTGCACCTTACTTGCAAGAATCAATATCTCCTACGCATAAACCTAAAGTAATAAACGAAGAGCATGAAGAACCACGATCAAACATAGAAACCAATACTACTTTAGAGGCATCAACTTCTAAAACCAAAATATTAAGAAATAAATTTTCCACACCCTTTAAAGGAATTATTGCAAAGCGCTATTCTAATGAATTGGAAAATTATGTAAAAGAAAATGCTGAAAAGTTTAGAATACGCAAGAACGGTAGTTTTGAATCAAACATTCCAGGAACAGTTGTAAAGAACAGCAATTTTACAGATGTTCTCGAATATGTAAAGGGTGAGACATCATCGCCCCCAAAAGGTTTCAGTTTTCTTTTTAATCGTCTTTCTAAAGATCCTTTAGTAAGAGAGATGATTAGAGAGACGCGTGGAGAAAGTACTTCAGAGGAAAGTTCAACGGATAATCAAACAGGTACTGGGAAAAGAAGAAAAAGAGTTCTAGTTAAAGTCTTGCCTATAAATTCCCCTGGATTAGTAAGAAGAAAAAACAAGTTTATGCCAAAAATATGGGAAAAGCTTTAGATACACATTTAGAAAAAATTTATTATTCACTTAATTCTCCCGCCTCTTATGCCGGGATAAATCGCGTCTATGAAGAAGCGCGTCGGAAATACCCGAAAATAAAATTTCAGGATGTTTATGATTTTCTTCATAGGCAGAGGGTCTATACAATGCATAGGCCTCTAAGAAAAAAGTTTCCTAGAATGGCCACTAGACCAAGCGGCCTGCACACAGATTGGCAAGCGGATTTGGCAATCTTTGATCAGTTAGCTAAATATAATGATGGGTACAAATATCTTTTGGTATGTATTGATGTACTAAGTAGAAAAATTTTTGCAGTGCCTGCCAAATCTAAGAGTTCTGAGGATATGATTGATGCCTTCGAAAATATTTTTAAACTTTCAAAAGGGATACTTCCTCATAAATTATATACGGATCGAGGGTTAGAATTTGAGGCGAAACGTATGAAACAATATTTTAAAAAGAAGGATATAGATAAGCGAGTAGTTTATAGTCCAGATGTGCATGCATCTATGGCAGAAAGGGCCAACCGTACTATCAAAGAGCGATTGTACAGATACTTTAGCGAACAAAATACACTACGTTGGAAGGATGTTATTCAAAAAATTGTTTCAGGAATAAATGCAAGTATTAATCGAACCACGGGTGTGACTCCAAATTCTGTTACGTTTAAGAATGCGGCGGAACTTTTTATCAGACTATATAAGGATCCTAAAAATATACAAAATACTAAAACAAGCTCAATTCTCGAGCCAGGACAAATTGTTCGAATCACAAAAGAAAAAGGGAAATTTGAAAAGGGATATTTACCCAACTACACTGACGAATTGTTTCGCGTACATATTAAAAACGACAATAGATATCCCGTCACATATAAGTTAAAAGATTTTGAAGGAAATTTAATTGAAGGGATATTTTATAGAGAAGAATTGGTACCCACACAAGAAGACACAACTCACCGTATTGCTGAAATTTTAAAAACACGTACACTTAAAGGGAATAAACAACATTTTGTTCGCTGGATAGGATATAACGATAATTTTAATAGCTGGGTTAACGATAGCGATATTGTTAGAAGATAAATATGGATTCATTTTATGTGATATTGCCCTCAAATACTGGAGGGGTGGAAGGAAATACCACTTCTAAATTTACTGTTCGAATGCCTGACACGCTTGAATTGGATTCAAGTTGGACAGTTGCACTATCTAATATTATATATCCGTTTTCTTTTTCATTACTTGGTGATTCTGATGAACAAGAATCAATAACAGTTTTTCGAAGATATGGAAATGAACTCTTACCTATTCGTATCGAAATACCAGATTTGTCCTTTGCCTCAGAAGAAGCATTAGAAGAGTCTATAAATGCTGTCTTGCTTGATGTATGGAAAAAGGAATTGGATCGCGAGCGTGAGGAACAGAGGCTTGAAGAGAATAAAAAAAGAATTTATGGGGAATATCGTAAACGTCGAGCTGTCGAATCTATAAAAGAACAGTATGATAAAAATGGTTATTTCGATTTGGACGCGGATGAACTAAATAAATTTATCAAGCTATTATCAGAAGAGGATGAAGCAATTAGTCCAAAACTTACAAATTTGAGTCCAGGAGAAGGCGATAAAAATATTCGTCTTTTGCCTCCTGCAAATCAAAAATCTCTTTACTTAAAAGTTATTGATAAATTTATTCAGCAAACTTTTATTCAATTAGAACCTACAAAGCAATTGGTTAAACATGGCTATTTCGATATGCAAAAGCAAACCTCTTTTAATTTTATGAAATACTTAGGCAAAGAAGGAATTCGGTTGCCTCCTATAACCCCTGCCCCTCTTGCAGTTGATGGTATAGAAAGAGTTAGATTTCAACCACATTCTGATCAAAGGGAGCGAATCAAACAGGCTATTAAAGAATTTTTGAATCCACAAAGTGTTGGTCAAACTGAAAAGAAAGTTGCACCTGTCAATAGTCAAGAATTAGCCCTTGAATCAACTCCACAAACAGAATTGCGTGCTGCTATTATTGAAAAATCGGATGTTAATTTCTCGCAAGAGTCTATCACTCAACAATTGGAAAAGGAAGGTTATTTTGATATACCAAAGGACGATGCTTATAAATTTATAAAATATTTAAATACGGAAATTAAGGGCGCAAAACTTCCAAATGTATCATCGTTTTCGGGAAGTTCTGTTGAGACTGTCAGATTAGAGCCACAAGCTGATCAGAAAGATCTGATAATGAATGCAATTAAATGTTTTATGCCCTCAGAGCCTGAACCTATTCAACAACATGAAACGATTGACTCTGAAGAAGAAAGTATTGTTGAAAATGATCAAGAAAATTCTAATGAAATCGAAGAAACTGAAGAGCCTTCGCCTACAATTCAAAAGGCTCCAATCACTCCTGCTACTGAAGTGACCAGTCCTATAATTGAAGCCTCGCTCACTCCTGAGACTCCAGTCGAGGCACCTCCTACTCCAGAGACTCCCGTGACAAGTCCAATAATCGACGCTCCGCCCACTCCCGTGACAAGTCCTATAATTGAAGCTCCGCCCCTTCCTGCGACAAGTACAATAATCGAAGCGTTGCCTACTCCTGAGACTCCAGTGACAACACCTGAAGAAAAACAATCTATAATCAAGGACAAAACTCCTTTAGATGGGAAAATAACTCCCCTTTCATATGTTGAGGAGCCTGATGAAAAGCCATCATTAACTGATGATCAAAAAATTTTAATGTAAATGGCCGTTCGTGCAGCGACAAGAGCATGGAGAAATAGTGTCGAGTTGGCAGAGCAAGCCCAAATAAATATGGAACTTGGTGAAAATATTGGCAGAATGCGTTAAAAGATAGTGTGATTACATTAAAAGAAACAGGGGAAATTGTACATTTAAGAAAAACACCTGAAAATATTCTAGAATGGGTTAAATCTCAATTAATATTATTAACTAATCGTAAAATTTCTATAGATAAATGGACACAAGAATCTTTAGAGTATGGAAAAAGAGCTTCGGAAGCACAACTAGAAACTAAAGCTGCAGAATCCCGGGGTGATGTTACAGAAGCAAGAAAAGCTGCGGATCGTGCTAAGGCCGCAGAACGTAAGGTAAAGGAAGCAGCCAGCCAGGTTGAAGAAGCTGTTGCGGGGCAAAAACGTTTATCAGAAGAAATTATTGGTAAAGTTGACGCAGAACTTGCGAAACAGGACACGACAATCGAAGAAACTTTGTCAACTATTGAAGATGAAAATGAAACATTACCAGAAGAAAATATCGAGGAAAATATTGAGGAGCATGATGATAATGAAGGCCCGTCAATAAACTATGAGGACGAAGAAGAGTGGACACCTCCATTACCTGAAGAAGAAAATATCGAAGTACATGGAGAACTCGAAGAAGAAACCGAGAAAGAAGAAACGCAAGAAGATATTTTGCAAGAATCACATGCATTAACCGATGATGACGAAGAGCAATGGACACCTCCATTACCAGAAGAAGAAAATATTGAGTCGAACGAAGAACCAACGATTATCGAAGAGGATACTGAAGTAAATGATACAAGAGCAGAGTCTCCGCAGGAATCACAGACAATAACTGATGAGGATGATGAGCACTGGACACCTCCATTACCAAAAGAAGAAAATATTGAAGAAAATATTGAGGCGAACGAAGAACCAACGATTATCGAAGTTGATACTGAAGAAGATGATACAAGAGAAGAGCCTCCGCAGGAATCACAAACGATAACCGACGAGGACGAAGAGCAATGGACACCTCCATTAGCAGAAGAAGATCCTGTAAGTATTTCACCTTCAACGGAAAATTTACTTGAAGATATTGTGCAGACTGAAGATGATAATAAAGTTCATACTGAGGAGCGGCCTTCTCTTCCACGCCCTGAAATATTAATAGGAGAACATCCTGAAAGGCCTTCCTATTGGAAAAGCTTTTTTGGACATGCTGGAGGAGACAAAACGAAACAAAAAGAGCTTCCAAGTCAAGAAAAGATGGAGAAAGAAGAACCTCCCAAAGAAAAGTTAAAAATACGAGTTGATGATTCGGATCCTAATGTAAAGAAAATGCATTTTGCTAAATATGCCTATCCTCCTGAATATCTAAAAATGCTTCTTAATTTCTCCAATATACAACTAGCCGATCCAAAATATCAATGGGTTTCAGTACACTTTGATAAATTGCATAAGAGGTTCCACGTCTTCTTACAGGGAAACGTACAATATATTCAATTAAGTCGTCAATTAGCATATACTCTTGGTTTTGATTCTGAGAAAGTTCATAGTGGACAGGTGGCGAAATATATGCCTGATATATCTGGAGGTGTGCGGCAATTTTTGGTTTATGCGCCAAGACTTGTTGAAAATAGTATAATTGGAAACGTAACCGCTCCTCTATTACGGGTTGTGAATGTAAATGGTAAGCCTGGTGATAGTATTTCCGAAGTATATATGACCGAACATCATCACCGATTACTAGGTAAACGTCATCCAGACATTACTATTGAAATTCGCACCTTAACTGGAAAACTCGTAAAATTCCATTGGGGAACCTGTATACTAACACTACATTTTCAACGCTCTATATTTTAAAAATGACACATGTACCAATAGATTTAGATACAATAGACTGGGAACCTTTCTTAGCCTCCCAAAATGGAGGTTCAAGATTAATAGAAGGAAGTCGTTATTTTCAAGGAACGAATTATCAAAGAGGATTTGGTTTATTAGGATCTGTTGGTAGGTTTCTAATGCCAATCGTCAAAAATTTAGCCACAAGCGCAGGACAAGAGGCAGTTAATGTTGGAAAAAATATCCTTGAAGATGTCTCACAAGGCCGATCCGTTAGCGAGGCAATGAAGCAACATGGAAGCGAAGGGCTTCAAAAAGTAGGAAAAAAGCTTCAACAATGCGGAAAAGGCAAAAGAAAACGTAAACAAACTATTATTAGCAAAAATTTAGGGAAAAAAGGCCGACGCCATAGGGATCAACTTAGTTTAGAAAATTTCTGAGTATATAAGTATAGCATAATAACTAATTTACTTTAAGTAAAAAATGACAACATTAAAGAAAATTGACAAAGATAGTTCAGAAGGTGTAGACAACCGTTTATCCTTCTTTTCTATTCCCTCTACTAATGTGGGTATTATTCGTTCGGCATTTAAAGAATTACTGCCTCTTAATGCCTTAAATCAATCCGCAGGTCCTTTTATTTTTAGGTACTTTGGGGACTCACTTTATCTTGATTTGAGCAAAACTTATTTTAGTCTGGTTTTATCAATAGAAAGAAAACATGCAAATAGTGATGAATGGGTTCCTATTTCAGACGGAGAAGCCGCTGAGCTCAAAGGTGATAAATTTACAGGAGTTGCTCAATATTTAGGGCTTACATGGATTCGTCGTCTAACTCTATCAATTAATGGTGTTCAATGTTATGATTCAGGTATTCACTATGCATATAGATGTATACTTCTACACGAACTTGGAGCAAGCCGAGAGGTGAGCAAAGGACTATATGAAACTTCACTTTATTATAAGGATGCAGTCGATAAAGATACATTTGAAGGTAGTGGCTTTAAGTCACGGGCTTCTCGTTTTGCTAATGGCCAAACATGTAGATTATTTTCCCACTTAGATTATGATATGGCGCGTCAGAATCAGCTTCTAATTCCGAATAGTGATGTGATTTGGACCCTTTACAGAAATACTGATGAATTTCTTATTCATACCCCCAAGTATCGCATAGCTACAGGAGGGGAACTAATAAGTAATACAAACTCTTATCGTCTGCGTCTTCATGATATGAGAATTTATGTTAAACAAGTCGATTTAAGTATGTCTCTAAATAATGCTATTTCTAGACATTTGGAGCAGTCTCCAGCGAAGTACGCTTATAGAAAAATAGAAATTCGGAGTGTATTTCTTGGAAAAGGTCGACAAGAAATTACACATCCCGCATTCACAAGTACATGTCCTCGCCGTTTAATAATATGTTTTGTAGGTTCTCCAGCATATACTGGAAATACTGCATTATCCCCATTTACTTTCGAACACGCTAATTTGCGATCAGTTTCTGCAGAATTTGGGGGATTTCAATTTCCTGCTGTGCCATATGACCTTGATTTTGCTAAGGGTAATTTCGTTCGCGCATATGTTGACACTTATGTTGGTATGGACCTTGATAATTGGCCAAATTCTGATCAAAGAACTCTCGATATCAGTATGAAAGAATTTTCAAAATCCTCCTGCTTCTTTGTTATACCAATGACTTCAACCCTTGAAGATACAAATGGGCTAGAATTAATAAGACAAGGTACAACAACCGTACGTTGTCTTTTCAATCAACCCGTCAAAGACACGGGTTACGAAATGATAATAATGGGAGAGTTTGATGCAATCATGTCCATAAATGCAGATCGCGTGTTAAGTACGGATGGATCTGTTTAAGATGAATTCTCTTCAAATTGAAACTATTTTACAACGGTACAAGCCTTTAAATAATAAATTTATTGGCGTGTTTTCTTCTAATAATATTCCTAATATTGGAACTCAAAAGCCTTTTTGTTTTGTAGCAAATACGATGCGTAAAGGTACAGTTGGTGAACACTGGATTGCCTGTTATTCAGATAAACCAAATACATTGGAATATTTTGACTCTTTTGCCGAAGAACCAAATTGTGACATGAGACAGTCAATGCTTGCCAATTTTTCCTTAGTGAAACAAAATAAATTTTCATTACAATCTCTCTTGTCAGATACATGTGGCCATTATTGTATTTGCTTCCTTATCATACGCTCGAAACAGGGTAATAATTTTTCATCTGTTCTTCAAAAGTTGCACTCAATACCTTCAGAAAGCCGTGATGCCGTTCTGAAGAGCTTTGTCCAAAGATTAGCCATGCTTCCTAGTATATAAGAATACTACTATTAGTAATAATATAGTAAAATGATATTTACTCTATATTTAATTTCCTTAATCAGTCTTACCTGGGCTTTTAAACAAAATGATAGTAATATACTTTATCCCGTTCACGGCCCATACCCTCCAAATGTAAATGCATGTTTTATTATTGATGAAGCGCATGCGCTTTCAATCGGTCCTTCAGGAAATCCTAATAAGGATATGTTTCTATTAATCGCTTATGTCCTCGATTTGTTACTAATTTTTGTTTTGGCTGTAGTGTTTAAAGCACATGTAAATTTGAGAAGAAATGGAAACGGAGAACTCCCTGGAATTAGGTTTGCGAAAGGGCCTCTTGGTATATAAGTCAAGGAAGTAAGCTTATAGAGATAAATTTTACCATGAGATATGAACATGCGTACTAGTGCTAATATGTCAGAATTTAGAGAACCTGTTGAATTTTCATCAAAATCGCCTCCGCCGCATGTGCGCGTCAAAACTGGTTCGTTACTTCACTTACTTTGTAGTTTCAATGGAGGCTGTGCACCAGAATCACTTCACAGGGAAATGCGTAAAAAATACAACGAAAATATTCAATTCCTTCAATCCCTTACGAGTATGACAAATGAAGATGTAGCCATCAATGGAATTGGGCAAAAAACATTTACAGACAACAATTTGAAGCAGGGAAAGAAGGCGATAGTAACAAATCATTTAAGACATATTCAGTTCGAAGTATATCCAAGTAAATTGACTAAGATGGGAGCTGATCGTGTTTTTGCATTAAGAGGATACTTACGTGTGACAATCAGGCAATATTTCTATGTTCGACATCACATAGACCTTGTTTATCCACAGCTGCCTCTTGTTTGCGTTGTTGGCGGACGACAGCATCAATATTTTTATCCTCTGGAGTGTTTGGACGTTGTTGAAGTTGAAGAACAAAAATAAATAGAAAAACTATATAAATGATCATTCAATTTATTTGCGTAATAAGAAAAATGTTTTTTATATTAATTTTTGTTGCAATAGTAGAATTAGTTTACTGTGAAAATAAAATAATAAAGAATGAAGAGAATAAAATATCTTTGTTTCGAAGAACGCTCAAACCAAAGACAATTGCGCATACTTTACACCCTGACTTAACTTCTCATTCAAATTTTACAAATATAACCTTAAAACCGAGTGGTCATGTTTGGTTTGAGTACGATGAGAACGAAAAGGTTTGGAAACAAGTATACAAACCTACTTTTTCAGTAGTGTATTATAAACCAAATATATTCGCTTCCGCATGGTTATTTGTAAAAGAAACTTGCTATGATATTGTTGTAGCTACCAAATCCCTTGTTATCGGGGGTAACGAAAATAACTTTCTACCTAGGACGTAGATTAATACCTATTCCGTTGTAAAAACGTTAAAAATTAATAAACTGTTTTTAGATTTAATTTATAGAGTTTTTCAGCAAAAAATAATTTTACTTAATTGCTTTTCTTCAAAAATTAAGCAAAATTTATGATCGCTTAATTGGCCTAGAATTAAGTTTATCTTATATTAAAATTATAACAATTCGATGACTACGTCCGTGCTGCTTTGTAAATGTGCCCACCCGTCCGATCTGGCAAGTTAAGCAACGCTGGGTATAATTTTTAAAACCCTCTAAACTTATTGAAAAATATTTGTAGAAAATTTTTGTGACGGTTTTCCCCTAAACCTATTGAAAAATAATTGAAAGCTGTTTTTGTGACGGTTTTCCCCTAAACCTATTGAAAAATAATTGAAAGCTGTTTTTGTGACGGTTTTACATCGAAAAAAATTTTTTGATGTAAAAGTGGTACATATACTACTGTCCTCCTAAAGCGATAAAGTTCAAATCTGCCTTATTAGTTTAGGACATAAGATTTGAGACTTAAAGAAACAGAATATAACATGTCCTCCTAAATCGATAAAGTTCAAATCTACCTTATTAGTTTAGGACATAAGATTTGAGACTTAAAGAAACAGAATATAACATGTCCTCCTAAAGCGATAAAGTTCAAATCTGCCTTATTAGTTTAGGACATAAGATTTGAGACTTAAAGAAACAGAATATAACATGTCCTCCTAAAGCGATAAAGTTCAAATCTGCCTTATTAGTTTAGGACATAAGATTTGAGACTTAAAGAAACAGAATATAACATGTCCTCCTAAATCGATAAAGTTCAAATCTGCCTTATTAGTTTAGGACATAAGATTTGAGACTTAAAGAAACAGAATATAACATGTCCTCCTAAAGCGATAAAGTTCAAATCTGCCTTATTAGTTTAGGACATAAGATTTGAGACTTAAAGAAACAGAATATAACATGTCCTCCTAAATCGATAAAGTTCAAATCTACCTTATTAGTTTAGGACATAAGATTTGAGACTTAAAGAAACAGAATATAACATGTCCTCCTAAAGCGATAAAGTTCAAATCTGCCTTATTAGTTTAGGACATAAGATTTGAGACTTAAAGAAACAGAATATAACATTTCCTCCTAAAGCGATAAAGTTCAAATCTGCCTTATTAGTTTAGGACATAAGATTTGAGACTTAAAGAAACAGAATATAACATGTCCTCCTAAAGCGATAAAGTTCAAATCTGCCTTATTAGTTTAGGACATAAGATTTGAGACTTAAAGAAACAGAATATAACATGTCCTCCTAAAGCGATAAAGTTCAAATCTGCCTTATTAGTTTAGGACATAAGATTTGAGACTTAAAGAAACAGAATATAACATGTCCTCCTAAATCGATAAAGTTCAAATCTACCTTATTAGTTTAGGACATAAGATTTGAGACTTAAAGAAACAGAATATAACATGTCCTCCTAAAGCGATAAAGTTCAAATCTGCCTTATTAGTTTAGGACATAAGATTTGAGACTTAAAGAAACAGAATATAACATGTCCTCCTAAAGCGATAAAGTTCAAATCTGCCTTATTAGTTTAGGACATAAGATTTGAGACTTAAAGAAACAGAATATAACATGTCCTCCTAAAGCGATAAAGTTCAAATCTGCCTTATTAGTTTAGGACATAAGATTTGAGATCTAAAGAAACAGAATATAACATGTCCTCCTAAAGCGATAAAGTTCAAATCTGCCTTATTAGTTTAGGACATAAGATTTGAGACTTAAAGAAACAGAATATAACATGTCCTCCTAAATCGATAAAGTTCAAATCTGCCTTATTAGTTTAGGACATAAGATTTGAGACTTAAAGAAACAGAATATAACATGTCCTCCTAAAGCGATAAAGTTCAAATCTGCCTTATTAGTTTAGGACATAAGATTTGAGACTTAAAGAAACAGAATATAACATGTCCTCCTAAAGCGATAAAGTTCAAATCTGCCTTATTAGTTTAGGACATAAGATTTGAGACTTAAAGAAACAGAATATAACATGTCCTCCTAAATCGATAAAGTTCAAATCTGCCTTATTAGTTTAGGACATAAGATTTGAGACTTAAAGAAACAGAATATAACATGTCCTCCTAAAGCGATAAAGTTCAAATCTGCCTTATTAGTTTAGGACATAAGATTTGAGACTTAAAGAAACAGAATATAACATGTCCTCCTAAAGCGATAAAGTTCAAATCTGCCTTATTAGTTTAGGACATAAGATTTGAGACTTAAAGAAACAGAATATAACATTTCCTCCTAAAGCGATAAAGTTCAAATCTGCCTTATTAGTTTAGGACATAAGATTTGAGACTTAAAGAAACAGAATATAACATGTCCTCCTAAAGCGATAAAGTTCAAATCTGCCTTATTAGTTTAGGACATAAGATTTGAGACTTAAAGAAACAGAATATAACATGTCTTCCTAAAGCGATAAAGTTCAAATCTGCCTTATTAGTTTAGGACATAAGATTTGAGACTTAAAGAAACAGAATATAACATTTCCTCCTAAAGCGATAAAGTTCAAATCTGCCTTATTAGTTTAGGACATAAGATTTGAGACTTAAAGAAACAGAATATAACATGTCCTCCTAAAGCGATAAAGTTCAAATCTGCCTTATTAGTTTAGGACATAAGATTTGAGACTTAAAGAAACAGAATATAACATGTCCTCCTAAAGCGATAAAGTTCAAATCTGCCTTATTAGTTTAGGACATAAGATTTGAGACTTAAAGAAACAGAATATAACATGTCCTCCTAAATCGATAAAGTTCAAATCTACCTTATTAGTTTAGGACATAAGATTTGAGACTTAAAGAAACAGAATATAACATGTCCTCCTAAAGCGATAAAGTTCAAATCTGCCTTATTAGTTTAGGACATAAGATTTGAGACTTAAAGAAACAGAATATAACATGTCCTCCTAAAGCGATAAAGTTCAAATCTGCCTTATTAGTTTAGGACATAAGATTTGAGACTTAAAGAAACAGAATATAACATGTCCTCCTAAAGCGATAAAGTTCAAATCTGCCTTATTAGTTTAGGACATAAGATTTGAGACTTAAAGAAACAGAATATAACATGTCCTCCTAAAGCGATAAAGTTCAAATCTGCCTTATTAGTTTAGGACATAAGATTTGAGACTTAAAGAAACAGAATATAACATGTCCTCCTAAATCGATAAAGTTCAAATCTGCCTTATTAGTTTAGGACATAAGATTTGAGACTTAAAGAAACAGAATATAACATGTCCTCCTAAAGCGATAAAGTTCAAATCTGCCTTATTAGTTTAGGACATAAGATTTGAGACTTAAAGAAACAGAATATAACATGTCCTCCTAAAGCGATAAAGTTCAAATCTGCCTTATTAGTTTAGGACATAAGATTTGAGACTTAAAGAAACAGAATATAACATGT